TTGCCACCTCAGACGACGAGCTGCTGCCCGACCGGCCCCTGCTGCCGCCACCACCACCACCGCAGGGTTCCGGGCCAGGTAGAGGCCAGGGCCCCAGGGAGAGGAGCTGATGTGGGTGCCAAGGGTGGGAAGAGCCTGGTATGGCCAGTTGTTGGCTAGTCTGACTTCCGTTTGCTTTTAGAAGGCCCTGGGAGAAGGGTGTGTCATCTTTTACACTCACCACAAGCATTTCACGAACCCAGGCTCAGTGCTCTCAAGTGCCCAGGGCAGAAGAGAGCCTAGACTGAGGTTCTGGCTTCTTGTTGAAAGCTTCAAGCCCCCTCCCTTGCAGTGAGGAGAGGCCCCCACTGCAAGGGTCTCCACAAGCTAGGGCTGCAGAAGGGCTGTGCTCTGCATCTTGCCCAGGTTGTGCCATTCACAACTTCTCTTTCTTCATAGGGATCAGCAACAACCAGCCCACGCAGATGCACCTGAACTCCGCTGCTGGCCAGAGCCCTATGGGCATGAACCTGCCAGGCCAGCAGCCCCTGTCCCACGAGCCCCCACCCACCATGTTGCCCTCCCCAACCCCTCTGGGCTCCAACATTCCACTGCACCCCAATGCACAGGGGACAGGAGGCACCCCCCAAAACTCATTGATGATGGCACCAGGGGGCCCAGAATCTCTGAACACCCCCTGTGGCCCTGTGCCGAGCTCCTCCCAGATAATGCCCTTCCCTCCTCGGCTGCAGCAACCCCACAGTGCCATGGCCCCAAGCGGGGGTGGGGCGCCTGGCCTGCAGCAGCACTACCCCTCAGGCATGCCCCTGCCTCCCGAGGACTTGCCTAACCAGCAGCCAGGCCCCATGCCCCCCCAGCAGCACCTGATGGGCAAAGGCATGGCTGGGCGCATGGGCGATGCGTACCCACCAGGTGTGCTCCCTGGGGTGGCATCAGTGCTGAACGACCCCGAGCTGAGCGAGGTGATCCGGCCCACCCCGACGGGGATCCCCGAGTTCGATTTGTCGAGGATCATTCCCTCTGAGAAGCCAAGCAGCACCCTCCAGTACTTTCCCAAGAGCGAGAACCAGCCCCCCAAGGCCCAGCCCCCCAATCTGCATCTCATGAACCTACAGAACATGATGGCGGAGCAGACCCCCTCAAGGCCCCCCAACCTTCCGGGCCAGCAGGGCGTCCAGAGAGGGCTCAACATGTCCATGTGCCACCCTGGACAGATGTCATTGCTGGGCAGGACAGGTGTGCCCCCACAGCAGGGCATGGTGCCCCACGGCCTGCACCAGGGCGTCATGTCACCTCCACAAGGCCTCATGGCCCAGCAGAATTTCATGCTGATGAAGCAGCGCATCGTCGGGGGTGAGGTCTACAGCCAGCCCCCGCACATGCTCTCGCCGCAGGGCTCCCTCATGGGCCCCCCGCCCCAGCAGAACCTCATGGTGTCCCACCCCCTGCGGCAGCGCAGCGTGTCTCTGGACAGCCAGATGGGCTACCTCCCGGCGCCGGGCAGCATGGCCAACCTGCCCTTCTAGCATCCCCCCCGCCCCGGATGGCCCCCCCGGAGAGGCCGCAGCTGGGGGTGATGTTGCCAAAACGAGAACCTTGACAGTTTCTTCCTCTCCAGTGTTGGATGGCCTGGGTGGAGGGGTGGGTGCAGGGGTGGGCGGGGCTTGTGTGGGGAATGGCATTTGTGGAAACATTCTGGCAGCTTGGGGGAGGTGGCAGAGAGGGGTGGGGTGGCGGATATTGGGATTGGAGTTTTGTTCCATTTTGGCCACCAGGACTGCCCTATCCCCATCCCCAGTTCCAGTGGAAACTCTATTTCCCCTTACACTCTTTCTCTACACCTGCCTTCCTCAGCTTCTGAGTCTTGTCACATCTAAAGAGAGGGAAGTCAGGAAGTAATCCCTTGTTTTCTTTCCCTCACCTCTTCCTTTTCTCCAATCTCCACTTTCCCCACTTTTCTTGCTCTTCCCTCACCCCCTGTTCCTCCTCTCTGTCTCTTCTCCCTCTTGGCCCTCTGCTCCCACCTGCTTTTCCTTCTGTCTTCCCCTGCAGATGTGGTTGACCTCTCTCCTACCCCTCCCTGCAGGCGGCTGGCCAGGTGGGCAGGTGCCAGCCGGAGCTGTAAATAGAGCGCTGCGCTTTTGTGCTGGTTTGTGCGTGTGCTGTATTTCTGTGTTTTGATAGAAGTCACACAAAAGAGGATAAAAGAAACCTTCTCCCCAGTCCCCCTTCTTCTCCCTACCCTTGTCTTCCAACTATGGCCCATCCATGTTCCCGTGAACCCAGAGATGTACTGTCCCGTGCACCCACCCACAGTGTGCAGTCTCTGGGTTAGTAAAGGATCTGCCTGTCCCCTGTCCAAGAGATAAAACACCATCGATGCCCCATGTTTAAATTGAGATCAGACCTGCTAGGCTTCCACCTGGTGAGCCCCAGGCGGCAGCCTATCTATCTGCTGCTGAGTGATTTAGGGAGCACACGGGTGTCCTGGCTTCCCAGCTGTGGGTGTCTGGGTGTCCCCTGCTGCTGCTACATCTTAGCCAGAACTTGAAGTCTTCTGTCTTTAGTCTGAGAGTAAGGAAAGACAAGAGGAAGAGGTGGTGGCTCTGTGGCCTCTGAGTGGAGCCGCGGAGAGGTGGCCCGATTCCACTGAGCCTGTGGTGGCCAGGATGGTCCTGGGCCAGGTACCCACCAGGGCCTTGGATCTTCCAGAGGCTGCTGTCTACTTATAAAAGGAGGAAGGAAAAGCATTTGACTGAGTCAGTCTGTCTGTCCCCCACCTCCACCCTGAGATGGGATTGGGGAGGTGTTGGAGTTGGACAGGGGAGCTTCCTGCTGCCTTCCTCTGCCTGGCAGGGTCCCTGAGCCCAGCGTGCAGGACTGCCTGCTCAGCCACTGGCTCCCCTGTACCCCTAGTTCTTCCCAGATGAGTTACCAGCTGCCTCTGGTCAGAGCTGAAGCCATACACAACTGGGTGTATTGCCCTACTTGCCCCCAGGAGATGACGACTTCTCCTTTTCACACTTCCTTACTGGCCTTATGAGGTGGCGGGGCAGTTCCCTGGCCGAGGCCTTTAGCGCTGGGCCACGAGCCATTTCTAGACAGGGCATCTTCTATCGCAGCCTCCCACCCCAGCCTTCTTGACCTTTAGAGCCTGGTCTCATGTTGGCAGCTGTTAACAAAGGGAATTTGCCCCACATCCCCCACATCTGGTGCTGTCCTCAGTCCACCAGCAGCCGGTCATTCTCT